GCTTCGCTCTGAAGTTTTTTATTGCATCCTCTCCCAAATTGGCTGGACCGAACACCATATCATATGACCTTAGGATTAAAGTGCATATAAACATGGGTTTTATGCCTTCTCTGGTGAAAATTATATAATTCTTTTCTTTAAACCCTTCTTTAACTTTACCTTTTTTCTCCAGCTTTTATCACAGAGGGATCTGTCAAATTTTCACCAACACCTTCAGAGAGCACATGAAGAAAAAGTTAAATTTGATACATTACATAAATGCATTAATATTGAAAAGCCTTGTCATCCTTAGTTATGACTTCTCAGCTTCCCCAAGAATAAAAGGAGAAAAAAAAAAACAAATTATATGTGATACCCTTCATCCTTACAAAAATTGCTCCTAAACAAGCACTTTGTACTTCTCAGATTTCTTCCACTTATATTTAGATCTGCCTGCAATTATGAACTTTAGTTTTCACTCGCGAGAAAGATATTTCCTATATAGTTCTCACAGCCAGAATACCTGACACATAATTCAGGATATTGGCACTACACAAATGTGCCAAAAAATAGATATTTTTTAAATGGTGCATATCATTAGGAAAATATGTATATATTTATATTTCCTATGTTGCTGTAAGATTTAATGTCATATTTAATAAGAAAGCAATAGATTCAGATCAACTAGGCCAAGATGTATTGAATAATGCTTGTGTTTTATGACAGGTATGCAAATTCTTAATAAAACATTAACACAAGAGAAAATGCCACAAACCCAATTCCAAAATAAGGACATTACCTTGCAGATCTAGTACCAACAATTCTCCTCTTGTATACTCATATGTCCAATGGCTGAAAGCTAGCATAACCTCCTCAAGCATGTTAGTTGGAATTATTTCATCACCATTATTGTTGTTGTATTTCCTAAACTCTCCAGTCATGCACTCTTCAACAGCAAACCACTGGCCAGCTGAGTGACAATATAACAGGAAAACTTCCAGGAACCTGGCAAAAAGCATCCTTATTGAATATATTTATTTTTTATATATTTATTTCTATTTTTATTTCATTCACTACTAATTTAAGTAATTTGAAACTATTACACAAAGTCATTTATATTCGCACACTAGGCTGGAATCCGTGCAAAAAGTATCAATAGAAAATACTGACAAGGATAATTCTGCTTGACACATTCATAGCAATGTTCTGACATGTATCTTCACGTACCAGTACCTTAATATATTTGATCCATCTGTTAACAACCCTGTAGGCATTCTTCTATGTCAAAAGCATGCAACGTAATGGAAGTTTAGATACACTGACCTTGGAGAGTATGGAATGGATTTGGGCTTCATTTGATTGAAAGCAAAGGTGAGCTTCTGCGCTGCCCTCTGCTGCTGAATTTCCTACAATTCAAAGCCCACATTTCATTAGCTGCATGATACGACAGAGAACATTAAGGAGCCAAAAAGGCTGCAGAACAGTGTCCATTCCCCCACGACACTGTAACAAATTACTTGCTTTTTAAATTATATCTACACTTGTAACAGTTTGAGCTCTTTGATTAAGTAAACCATACTGGAGCAGAGTTTTAAAGCCCTTTAGGTCATACAGAACTGCAGACTAACCTTTTTTCAAGAAGTATATACTAGTTTTCAGAGGGTGGGGGGATCCTGTTTAACATATAAATATGCCTGTCTATGTTTAATAATTGACAAGGATAAAACTTACTCTTAAGCATAAGTGTAACACAGTGTCCTCCTTATAAATGCTTGACCAAGTATTCACAACTTCAGGAAGAAAAGACTTGATGATATAAAGATGTCCTGATTTCAGGATATCATATTCTGACCATGTGCATACTACTTTAAGAGCTCGACGTAAACCTCCTCCCATCTCCTCTTTACTTAAAAATTCAATTTTAGCACAGAGTCCGAGTTGTGACCAGGAAGACATGCTGTTGTTCAAGATGCTGGGAGAACTTTCTTCAAGGCGGTACACGGTGACTGGTTCACCTACGTTACAACACAAAAAGCCATGACTGCATTTAATTTTCCAAGTTTAAAATTAAGAGCACTGAAACCATATGTTACTAACATTCTAACTACCCAGTGGGAAGAGCCCTCTCCAACCTCTTTCATACAGCAGCAAAGTAGTACAGCGGTTTTGTCCTCCTAATTAGAACTATTAATGACACTGTTCAAACAGCATTAAGAACACTGAATAAATGTTTCCTTACACTTTACACAAGTCAAGATAACTCAAAGGAATCCTTCCAGAATAGTTTGTTACAAAAACTGTTATTACAATACTATCATCACTGTATCACCATTTCCGAGGACAACTACCATTAAATCTAGATTTCATAGTCAAATGAGCTGCCCTAGAAAAGGTGTCATATTAATTTATGTTTTTGAGTGTTGCAAGAGAGACACTAGACTTCTTTTAGTTCACTAAAAGCTTAGTTTCACATTTGCTCTAAGCAAGTGTCAAATTTGGCTTGATCATTCTATATCAGAAGGAATCTGTACAGAGTTTACTTCTGATTTCTTCCCCAAAAGACTAGTGAACCAGCAACAAGAAAATAATTCTTACCTCTTGGAGGCACCGGAGTGAATGGAATGCTCTGTGATAATCTCATCAAGTTATTTCTTTCTACAGCTAGAGGAAAATTGCAGCATTCGTTAAAGTTGAAGGATCTAATAAGTATAATTAAAAATATGAACATTAGTTCATAAGAAGGACTGACCTGAGTAATAGTAATTGATATCCATGATAGGCTTGAAAGGAGAAGCAATGCCTGAAATAATAATAACAACAACACTAATAATAGATACTGCCTGATACCTGTATTGTGTATTAAAATTACCACATGCAAAAAAACACTTGCCCAGTAGCTAGAGTTCAAAAAAGATTCGCTAGGCAGAAAGTATCACGCTTAGCTCTCAGTGCCTCAGGGGGAAAAAGAAATTAAAATTGTAGCACTCAATGGTAGGCTATTTATTAAAAACCAAAAAACCCCACACTATTCTATGTCCATTAAGTCCCTACTTATCAGCAGTCAAGTACATTCTCATACAAGACTCAAACAGTTTTTTATATGGAAAGGTCCCAGCTTGTTTTTAGCAGAAACACTTACCATTCAATGCATCTTCTTCAGATGGCCTGTGAAATACCACAAAACCAACAGTCATTGCTTCTTAAAAACTTATTTTGCATTCGCCAATTTTGACACATCATCCTAGGTCACCTTGTTAACCTCACAGTGCTGCTTTTATTCTGTTTTTTCAAGGGCAGTATGGGTTTCTTAATTACAAAACAGTAATGGAAGGCTGTTAAGTAACCTCATGTTTTCAGAACTATACTTCAAACACCACCAAGTCACGCACAACATTATGTAAAGTTTGCATCACAAGAGTTCATTCCCACAGAGGTGCTTTAATTAAAACTTGCTCACAACAGCTTACCCTTCTGTTATCAGATTAATAAGGTAATAGCTTTAACAGTTAACTCAGGGGATAATTGTTAACAGGAGCAATGCCTGCACAATTTCAGAGAAGGTTTACTGTTTGAAATGTTGGGTAAAGACCTTTACCAGGAAGCTAGCTCCTTAGTAAGTGTCAACACAGTCATTTTCATTTACAAGCATGTTTTGCCCTCTGACATGTGACCCCATTAATCTAAATACAACCTGTCAAGGCATTCCAGTGAACACATTCAGTTATTTATTAGAAAAAACCCTTAAGCCTTGTTTTTTTCATTACATGCAACTGAATACCACTGTAGCCAAAGACAACAACCAAAAAGAAAAACAAATCAAAATGTAGAGTAATAACATTCCTCCATTAGTAGAAAGCTTACTTACATTTGACTGCTATTTGAAGGTCTACCTTGTAACCAATCCTTTAAAACAAAGGAGAGGAAAACCAAAGAAGGTTTCAGTTTTGTAAGGAAAACATAGTATATTTAATTGGAGGTAGGGTGGTAAGGTGTTTTAAGATCTTTGCAGTACAGCCTGTTTATTGGAAATACTTCACCAGGCTGCACTGAACTACAGTTGAATGGAAAGACTCAAATGCAACTGAGGAATGGTAACTACACTTAAAAGAATAGATAAGGCTATATATTCACTACTGTTTTATGGATTATATAAATAATAATTTTCTTAAACAAAAAGTTGTGGTTTTATCCATAAACAAGAAGCAACGTATGTTTTCATAATGAGAATATGCATAATACGTGGTAGAGAACATGCGCAACTTCTTCCCTCGGTCAAAATAGTTCCCCTCCTGTTGCATCCTTGAACAAATCAGTATTATTCTTCTCCACACATTCTGTTTCACCTCCTTTATTTGTTCAGAGTTTCTAGTTCTGCTTAACAGCAACAAAAGAGGAGAATACAAACCGTCAGCAAGGCTGCTTTAGAGTCTGCTTGCTGAGTGTCTTCACTCGATGCTCTTCTACTCTTGTTGTACACTATGAATGAAAGAGATTCATAACTAGACGAAGAGCAGCATGTGTCATTATTACTTATTTTCTAACAGAGCGAGCACCTGGACAGCTTACTGTGGCTCTCAGAAAAAAAGCCTGATCCATAACAATCTGATCTTTACAAGTTTCCACCACAGTCCTGACTAGAATACTTAGCTTTTTATGACTCCAGCTATCTGTGGCAAAAGCAAGGTAACAGAATTAAGCTGGCGTGACCAGAAGAACCCCCATGAGACACAGAAGCAGATTCAAGTAGCACCAATCATGAAAATATTTCAAGATGCTTTAACTTTGTGTGTTTCCTTTGTATCTTCTCAGATATGCATTATCAACACAATTTAGAAATAAAATTAGGCCACCTGAAAAAATGACACACTTACGTTGTTCTGAATGGCCTGTCAGAGGGTCAGTAAACGCACCGCAAGAACTAGATTGTCTTAGACCACAGTCAGTCTGAAGACCCTACAAAAAAATACACTTATCGTTAGTCATCATTATCATCGTTTTCAAGTACTACTTTTTTGGCACACAATCTGCCCAGCTGTCTTTTCTAGGACTATCTAGGTTTGGGGTTTTTTTGGTTTTAAAAACCAAACTTCCGGATGTGCCTCAAATACCTTGCTGCAAAAAAATGCTCAAGTTGCATAATTCAGTCAAAATGCTCTTCACAGCAACCATTAGCTCTAACATTTTCAGGTGCACATTAAGACTACCGACCCATACTGAAAATTCTTTTAAAAAGAATGTTACAATAGGATACATACAGAAATGTACATTACACTGGATCTCTACAAGCACCAAGCTCAGCTATTCTGTCACCTCTTTGTTAACAAAGGTCAGTTTGAACCTGAAAATAGGAACAAAATCTAGAGAAGTCTTGCCACATAAAAACCTACAGTTTATCAATGGAATTTTCTCATGGACATATTCCTTAATAATAATCATTACATACTTTCTGAATATTTACTGAGGGGGTCAACTTTGACAATAAAATATTTCTTTAGCAAAAAAGGAGAAAGGCAGCTTCAACACAAACTGGAACTACATGTAGACTGGCATATGGCTGGGCTGTTCCTCACAACCAGCCTATTAATTCCAATGGTTACCTGAATAACATGTATAAATACCAGATTTTGAAGACCAAAAACTAGAACTTGGAGTGCTATGCCCTGCTTTGATTCCAAGATTTATAACAGTTAGGAAATTGTTACCACTTTTTTTTCACCTTTCCCTCTTAAGGAATACACCCCCACATACCTAAACACACAGACACATGCCTGTGTATATGTATGTGTGTCCAAAATGTGCATGTATCTACACACATGTGTGTGCGTGTATGTATGTATGTATATACACGTATATATGAGAAAGGCTATTTCTTTACATTCCTAAACACAAATACTTCACTGGAATGCAATACAGAGAATGCACCATCTTCTGAAGACCCATTTTTAGGTCTATGTGTATTCCAGTGTTCAGCATACATCTTCAGCATCTTACAATCAATGGCTGTAGTGCCTCCATGAAAGGTTAGAATCAAACCAGACCCACCAGTTAAGATGGGATGACTCTCACTTAAGTGTCTAACAACAGTGATACTGTCTGGAAACACTACTGGAGTTTGCATCCCAATAGTACCAAACACTGGAACTATTTAGACCTGTCACGGAGACATCCAGCTGTATTGTACAAAGGTTTGATTGCACAACCTTTTTTTCCTTTCCTTCTTTTCTTTAAAATCATGACCAGTGTTTACTTACCGATAACACTAGAAGAAAATAGAGTTCCCTGTCTTCACTATAAAGAATACATTTGGTATCTGGTGAAAATAATGTCTCTAATAATTGGAAACCTTCTTTACTTACTTGAAGTCTGGTTGTCTCTATGCCCTCCAATATAGCTTTTTTGAAGTCTTCCTGTTGCTCCTATTAAAAAAAAAAATCAAACAAAAACAAACAACACACAACAACAAAAAATGTAAACTCCATTACCAAAAAATCCATGCCAGAAATACACACACACACAAAACACCTTTCTGGTCACACATTATACTTATCAGAAAGTCCAGAAGGAGCAACTCAGGAGAACATCAACATTGCAAATGGTCATAATGCAATTCTCAAGTCAGGTTCTCCCCTGAATGAGGGGTAACTGCAAATGGTAACTTGTTATTTACTAACTTATTTTAATAACACCTACAGTGAGAAAACTAGCTTTTTTTATATATACTATAGCACTTGGAGGATAGGTTTGTTATGATTAATCACTTTCCATTTAGTTATTTTTATTATTCTTAAGGAAAATGGAAATTAAATGTCATTTTAATTTATTCCAAGATTATCAGAAAGGCCTTTTATTCTTGGAAGCATAATGGACAATTTTTGTCACTTTTTAAAATTATATATGCTATCATCTTGCTCTATAAAACCTCATGTAAATCACTGAAATCTTCCCAAATGCTGATCTTGAAATTCATGAGTGTCAAACATTTCATTAAACACTAATTATGGGATAATTTTATCTTAATTCACAGTTGTAGTCATCTCAGCTTTCATAACCTCAGATCTTGTTTAGTATTTCATTAGTACTGTATTATGAAACAACTGTACTTGATGTGTAGTTAAGGTTGCATGAGTTTTAACTAGATTTTTATTATCCCCATTAAATGTTTGACAGAAAGTCTTCCGTGCTTACCTCAATATCAGCACTTCTTTCTTTAATCTTGCTTGCCGCCTCTTTAAACCGCTGTAACTCCATGCTGTCTCTGTGACCTTTGACACAGTGAATTGAAAAAAAGTATTCAAAATCAAAGGCAACCTCCAATGTTCTGACCATGCCAATAATTTACATCACCATAGCAAAGGGTTACAAACCAGCTAAGTTCTGTGTGCCTGTCGGCACTAGAGCAGACCTTCTGAACACACTGAATTAAAAATCAGTGTAACAAAGTACTGATATCAAACTATTGCTTTTCCCACATTAAGGTGTGGATTACCACAACACAAAAAGTAAAATTAACATTTTAAAATTTTATTCAAGAGTATGTTCCTCACCTAGGAAAGTCCAAATTCCAGTATTTTTATGTAGGTATGACAAATGAAGGAAAAGCAGACAGTTTTCTTGAGGTAGCTTTTACAACATACCCTTCATCCTCCCAGTTGCAAGAAATACTTTTCAGAATTTTACCAAGCATGTGGCCTTACAATGAAGGAAAACTACCTGGATTCACAATGGAAAGCTGCACTGTAGCAGAAGTTTTATAAAACCTGGCCAGTGAGAATGAAGAGTATGTTCTGAATGCTAGCGATGTCAGAGGACCATACACTAAAAATTTGGCTCCAGTAAAATAAGTATAGTTAGTATTCAAAGTTATTAGTGGTGAAGTACATTCAAAGATTAGACAAGAGTTATACATTCACTGTCCATTATTTCTGTTTAGTCTTGCTTTCTGAATTTTAAAAAGTTTTCCTTTTTTCAAACCACAAGGAAATTTTTAAAAATTAGCTAGTGAGTATACAAACGTGTAGATACTCTTCCTACACATAGACAAATCTAAAAGTGCTACCGCCTGTAGGTAACGTCTTAGAACTCCAAGTTTCATAGCAGTATAATGAACTCTTTTTAAAAATGTAAATTTTTGCATCCACAGCAAACCTTTGGAAAACACTGAGACATCCCTGAACAACTGGGGCAAGACAACACCTCTGCAGGCAACCTGACAATTCCAGTTTGTGATTTTCTGCTATACACTAAGTGTACTTAAAGCATTATCTACTTCACAGAAATCAGTTAGTAAACCCACACCTGTGTTTTGCAATGAATCTGCCACTGTTTTACTGTTCAAATATGTAGGTAATGAAACAAAAACGAGCACCTTTTTACTGTTAACCAAGACTTGAGGGGAGGCATAATACTGTATTTAATAAAAGGACTTTGGAAGCTTCCAAAATGACTGCTGAAATATACATTAGCTTAGGCAACAGTGGAAGATCCCAGTCATAACAGTGTTTAGAAACATAGTATAGAAGGACCCCTCAGCTTGACACAGATACCACAAAGATATTTGTCCAGGATTCCATCAGCCTAAGAAGTCTTCTGTAATTATGTCAAGAAATAGACAATATTTTTGATTTATGCAATGAGAAGGTAGGAGCTTTATAATGAGTCACAAAAAGTTTGTCTACAATGCCCGTACCAAGTTGTAGAGCTGCTAATTGCACAAAACTGCTATACTCAACAACTGGATAATGTTTTTCAGAAAAATATTGTCTATGTGACAGAACTATAAAGAAATTATAAATTAAGTAAAAAAAAAAAAAAAATCAAGCAACATAGGGAAATTAGAGATGTTAAAAGCAAAAAAAAAAAAAAAAAAGCAGAGCAAAATGGCAGAATAAAGTCACCTGCAACCGGAATACACCCAAAATACTATACAATTCTTGATAAGTCAAACCTTGTGGCTTAGATTTGGTCCACAGTTTATGAAGTAGTCCCATAAGGATGTTAGAACATAAATCTTGGTTTTGTAGTTCCATTGCATGGACATGCTGACTTTTGGAAAGTTCATCTTTAATATTCAATTTTCGATGTGAGCCACCACAGTTGACTGTTGATGTCAAGTCGCCAGTTGACAAAGAAAACTTCGTATGGGGCTTGTTCTTCAATAAGTTGACAGAGGACTGGAGATCACATTTGTCAACTCTGCAGCTGTAGTTATCGTTAGTGTCACTCTCATCATGAATAAAACCACAATTAATGTATCCTCCATTTTCAACACAAGGTTGGGTGAAAGCAAGGCAAGCAGAGCCAGAAGCAAGAGGATAAGAGCAGCTAATAATGACTTCAGGACATTCAGAATCTACTTTTTTATACTTACCCACAAATGCACCAAATTCTACATTATTATCTCCTTCTGTAGCTTTAGAGAAAACAGTCTCTTCACGCTTTGCTGAAGAATCCAGCTGACTTTTGCAACTGGGCCGAGATGGAGTGCTAACAAAAAATTTAGCTGTTGGGGACGTTACATGTGGCATGCTGTTGGATGAATTGCCTAATTTTTTACTTTTACTACTCGATTTTGAGATCTCTGCAGCCTGTATTCGCTGGCGAAGTTCTGGGGGAGAAATAGCATTTGAAAATAAGGCACTGCCTGAGGAACCTGCCTCTTGAAAGTTTATTTCTTCTTTTCGGGGAGCTAATTCCTGACCAATTGTCTTATGTTGGACCTCTTTTTCATCACGTATAGAAACGTTACAGAGTAAAGCATTATTACTTTCAAGGCCTCCTTGGGGAAAAGAACTGAAGACATTCCCAATGCTGTGCTTTTTCCAAACAGAAGATCTTAAAGAGCCATCCTCAATGAGGTTTTGTGCCAAATGTTTTGAAATGCTCAATTCCCGTGTGATTTCATTATGAACCTTGCTAGCTTCTGAAGCTTTCTGCGCAGTCAGTGTTTTCAGAGTATCCACAGTTAGAGCGGAGAGATCCTGTAGGTGGCCAATCTGTGAATCTAAAGACTGCAATGATCGTTTTATGTAGTTGACACGATCACCAACTTCCTTTATCTGAATGCACATTTGTTCCACCCTAAGAAAAATCAAATTATGAAGTAGCTATGAAAGGTATTTTTCTCAATATGTGAAAGAAATATCTTTGCAACCCTTTCTCCCCATTTAATAAGGAAAAAACCTATGAAATTTCAAGATAGTATACACCACAGTGTTGCACTGTTTTGTAATACAACATTCGTACACACTTCTGAATCACAGAATGAACTCACACATCAACAGAGGGCCTACAGCACTTTTTCAAATTTATCAGTTTATTAAAACATCATGAGAAACTAAATAATATGATTGCCTCAGCTTACTGAGTGCTACTACAGATCAGGAAGCATCAATCACATTATTAGTTTCTGCATAGCAATGGAAAGAGATCATCTAAAGTTTGCATAAATACTTATGTACTTGAGCTGCATCTTATCCCCCTTAAAGCATGTTTTAAAAACCTGCAAAAGTTCTAAGCTTTTCTATTCAGAAATTTTATTTGTAAGTATTCTACCGTTCAAATGTGACTCGAATCCTCTCCTCACTTCCAGAATGAAATTTATCATCCTTTTCATTGAAATACATCTCAACACACAGCTCTTCAAAATCATGGAGTTTCTTTTGATCTTCTTCTGTCAGGAAGAGTTCTAAAGAGAGATAAAACAGTTAAGAAGATGCATATGTAGTGAAATAGTACGGGTGCTGGAAACGAATAGCCACAACTTTACAAAGGGTGTTAAAAATAAAAAACCAAAACAAACAAACAACAAAAAAAACCACAGTGCCACCAAAGGCCCTTCCTCTCTCCTTGCTAGAAAAAAGTTCAAGATGAAAGATTTACGCTAAAATAAAAAACAAAATAGTAATTCTGAGAGGATCTGTGCACAGTATTTTTACTCCTTATGCTCCCTACCCTCCAATCCATTTTTCTTTGAGACAGAAGCTAGATTCCTTATCTGGGTTTTATAATCTGTGGAACATTCTTTTTTTTCCTTTTTAAATTTTCAAAGGGTTTCCAGTAAGAACAGAAGTTTTCCCCATTAACACTAACAGGAAATCTAATCAAAGTTAGTCTGACCCTTCATAAAAACACTGGGACTTTGAACAGAATTAGAGTCTTATTCAATATTAAAAACACAGAAAATAAAGACTGACTTCAACTTCCTTGAGAATATACATTATAACCGAGAACATAACACTATCAAAAAAGTTACTGCAATTTTTTGGATAACTGTTCATACTTGGCCCATCTGAAGTCTTGTCTGTCTTTCTTCTTTTACATATACAACAGAACAGGGAAGCCATGTGGCTAAGAATAATAAGTGGTGGAGGCAGGACAGGTTTTTCGTGGTAGGCCATAATGAAATGATAGCGTTGATACTTCCACACAATGTTTGAAATTGCCTTGACTTGCAAATACACATTGCTGAAAGGGAACAGAAAAGCATTAAAATATTGAGATTTTTTTGGGGTGCTGGGAGGGTGGGGAGCAGGGTGCGGTTGGTGTTTGGGGGTTTTGGTTTGTTTTTTAAACACTTTGATGACAATCTTGAAATCTGAAGCTAGTTAAGAAAGAGACAAAAGCACAACCTTGTCTTTTGCTGCAAAGTTATTTCAGTGGAAGTTGGAAACACATTCAAGAAAACCGTGTGATCCAAAGCAAGGAGAAGGTTAAAAAATTCTCTCATCTGCTACTATCTCAGTACCTTTCTTCAGAAATAAATTACACCGAGATCAAACTTCAAGTTTGACCAAAAAAAAAAAATTCAAACTAAACCCAGATTTTTATGAGACCACATTAATTCTGCAGTCTGCCATTCTTCAGTGTTAGTGAGCTGCTTATTCCCGTAAACAAAACACTTGCAGAGAACTGTAAAAGACAATTTACTACAATTCAACTTAATCAGCTAGAGAACGTTAAAAGAATTTAGGATCAACAGTCAATACAGAGATCCAGAAAAAATTTTGTTTGTTTTCTGACAGAGAAGTTATAAAATGCTTTCAAATTCTCTTAAACTTCCAAATCCCCTGGCCTCATAGATGTGACACATACCAGTCACATCACACACAGCCCTGCTTGGTGACAGGCCTGCAGTGAGGAGACAAAGACAAGCCTTAGAACCTGGAAATACATCCAGTAAATGGGATTGCTTTGAACTGGCATCAGTTATCTTGTCATCTTATTACAGAAAAAGCTTATCAAAGGATTACCAAAATTAACAATTATCCTTATACTTACTTGAAAAATGCAATAAGGAGATTAACCATAATTATGTACTGTACAAAGAGGTAGACAGCTTGAAGAAATGGAGTCAACCATGTTCCTGGGCCACAGAGATGAGCAACTTTTTCATCAGAATTATTTGCACATACTGTGTTGAGAAAAAAAGACACAGAGAAAATACATACAACCTTTAGAACTCCCAGCACAAAAAGACAGGGGAAAAAAAAAAAAAAAGATCACTTACAAAGATTGCAACAACCAATTATCATGCACTACTTCTGCAATTCAAAATGCCTCCACGCATTTAGGAATATGGTAGAAAAATAAAGGAGACAAAGTTTGTGGTTAATACTATGTTATAACCATATTATTGGATTTTTTTTTTTAAAAAAAGCATAATATGGCTCCACAGCCAAAATTTTGATGTAAAAATTCCAAAATCTTGCTAGGAATATCCTTGTGAAAAATTGTGATTAAGGAGAGTTTTCATTCAAAGACGTTCAAGTGTTATAAAGGACAATGAAAAAGAAGTTATACAGCTGCAACCCAGAAAGAGATAATCCAACTAATGGAATCAATGTCAACAATACCAGGCATTTCATTTCCTAAAATCAGAATTTCATAAGACCTTGAGAAGATCTTATCAGAGTAAGTTTTCTCCTTACTTGCTTCAAAATTGCAGTGTCTTACCATCAATTTCATAGGCATACACTTCACCAAAAATCATCCAGTATGGATGAAACACAATATCTCTAGCAAGAGTCCAAGAGGGTGCCTCATCAGGATACAATATTGCCTTCCTGGGAACACCAAAACTAAGTAGTACAAGGGCCATAATCACCACAATGTAAAACATGTTGGCCACCTATTAAAACAAAAATGTCAGTTAACCCACAAGCTCACAATTATAATTTCACAACTTTAAACACTTTTACAGTGACGGCATAAGCTTGATGAATTCTACGCATTATATACGGAAAAGAGTCTAGGACACTTACATTTCAGTCAGAAAATGTTGTTAAATAACAAACCCGGTAATTTTTTTTTCCCTGTCCTTTCTTACAGTGTATTTAGTATCCCTGCCAAAGGCAACTGAGAGAATTTCCTTTGTAACTTAAATATGTATTATGTGGATGAGTAGCAGCTGATAAAGAGAAACATTCCTTCCTAAATGCACTCAATAGATGCACAAAACGCAGAAGTAGTTTTCAAGGGCTGAAACACAGAACCTATGCCTCTTGTGAGAATTCAAAGCGAGAAATGAGCAACTTGAAGCCCTCATTTTTAAGGAATAATAGGGTTCAACTTGTAGGAACCATTTCACAGGGGGAAGGAAAACAAACACCCTTGTTCACCTTCATGTATACAGTTCTCAAGCCTTAAAATATTTTTTAACATTTAGAATAGCTCACTGACAGTAAAGCTAATTTATTTCTTTTTAAATTTAAACAATCTGAATATTTTTTGTGGGAGAGAAGACAAGAACAGAGCCACAATCTATTCCCAGTTTACTACAGCACAAAATACAAAGGTGCTTTAGGACACAAAACAAGTTAAAAGACTTGCACAACTTGCACAAGAAAAATCAAGACTATAAATAAATCTCAGACCCAGAAGGGAAGCAATGCTAGATGAATCAAGAAAAAGGCATAATCATATTCATTCAAGTCTCTGATATCTAGGAACAAAACAGACAAGAGAAGGAAGATTTGCCAGCTTTTTACAGATATGTGACAGATAAAGCTCCATAATAAAGGAAGCCTTCTAATCAGTGCTTGTTTTGAAACACATCAAGTAATATTCCAGCTAGCTAATTCTGCACACTGTGTTGTTGACATATTACACGACGATAAGTAACCTTTTTCTAAATTAAACTTCGAGAAAAGTTGTAAATGGATGCAGCCAGAAAAACGTATTTCGGTTGGGAAAAAAACAGTAACAAAAGTGGTGCTTACCATTTTCCCAATCATCATAACATAAGGGCCAGCCTGTTGATTTACAGCTAGAAAATCCAGTAATCGCACATACCAAAAAATTATATTGAGACAGTACGTTATTCTTCCAGCAACAAAGACATAATTTTCTCTGTAAGTGTTTTCACCAAAATTCCCCTTTGCTCCAAATCTTAATGCAAACCCAATGAAGAAAGTGACAATGGCAACTGTGTCACTGATATTGAAGTAATCACTGAACCACACTTTAATCTTCTGATTAATCTTCCCAGCCTCTGACATAAAGATCTGCAATAAAAATAAAAGTCAGGTCTCCTCACATTTATTGCACACAGACCAACACTGAGATACATGAATCAGTAACATTATTATACTTGCAAAAAATAAAATATCTATTCAAATGGATAGCTGTTTCACACTGAGGAATCAAAACCAGTGTTTAACTGTACCAGTTTCACTACAAGGACAAGGAGATGTTATGTTCTTCTCAACAACTTCTCAAAAGTCTCTTGCTGACCAGCAAATCGGGAGTACAGTTAAGTCTGGGATGAAGGGAGGGCTGAGGGTAAGGTGTTTTAAGATTTAGTTCTTATTTCTCATTACCCTACTCTGATTTGACTGGTAATAAATTAAATTAATTTTTCCCCAATGCAAGTCTGTTTTGCTCATGATGGTAACTAGTGAATGATCTCTCCCGGTCCTTATCTCAGTTCACGAGCCTTTCATCATTTTCTCTCCCCTGTCCACTTGAGACAGGGGAGTGACAGAGCAGCTTTGGTGGGTACCTGGTATCCAGCCAGTGTCAACCCACTACAGTATTACATAGCGTACTCTGATGCCTGAAGTATCTTATGTTCTCTTGTTTATAAACACTGTTTATAGCATACTGTTTTAATTGACAAAGAAAGCCAAAATCCCAGATCGTTACAGGCGTACCTCACGAATTTTCTCAATTGCTGATGTGAAAATGTAAGCAATAACAATCCATTCTTGAACGGATGGTAACTCCTCCATTTTTACAAGAACCACAAAAGTGTAGAGCATGAGGAATCCTAAGTATGCCAACTAAAAAAAGCAATGAAAATTATACATATAATTACTGAAGGGTTCTTTATAGATGTGCATGGAAACTTTTGATGTGGTTTACAATAAAAGCCTCAAGTAGGAGTACAGTACTATACTTACCCCTTTAAGCAGCCAAGTTATTATAAGTGGATACAAATATTTTCTTCTTAGAAGAGGAAAAATAGCTGTAATAAGCTATTTAATGCTAGCAAAGCTTTGTTCTTTTTACAGCTATTTTTCCTTTAATACAAATTTTAGAGTTTCTATTACAGTAATTTAAACAAAGCTCTGCATGAACACTTTAGTGTAATAAGCAATTACAGAATTCCTGCCAGCAACTGATGAAATTAATTACTCAGACCAGAATAAAAAAGCGTTCATGCTAGTTACTCTCTTTGCTAAAAAAGAAATAAAAGTGTATTTCTCAAAGCCAATATCATAAACTTACAAAAAAACACAACCAAACAAAAACCAAACCACAGAGCACCACATATACATATGCAGTTTTTCAAAATCAAGCACTCCTCACTTCTGGCTTAATAAGGGTTTCCTTGTTTTTAAAAAAGTGTTTAAACTTCAATTCAGGTCACAGAGCTATACATTGGGAAAAGAACCCAAAAATCCACATTAGATTTAAAAAAAAAATACACATTACAAAGAAGAAAACTCACCGTATTAAACCAAAACTTGACAATTGGTGCATGATAAAATGCATAAAATTTCTGTGTAATTGGAAGTCTTTTAGGTTTTGCCGGAGTCTCCATATCATGCTTTTCTAAAGTATTGTCCAAGATCCTTACTTCTTTAAATACCTCCTAAAACGAAAGGACTGTTAACTTCACATACCTGCTTTTGGATGCTCGTTTTAAATCTTGCTTTGATTTTAAAATGTAGTTGTTTATTTTAAGTTAGAAATATTGTTTTTAGTATCTCCCCCTGCCCCACATTACCATAGGAATATCATCTGCTGCATTCTGGAAGTTGTTTTCACTGTCATCCATAGTCATTTGATGTGCATCTTGAGATTGAGGAATATGTGACATTTCAGCCTTGGTCTTATATTCCAGCAGCAGTATAGCAGGAGGCAGTAAAATACTCAGTATCACCTGGAAGAGATTAAGACTAAGTGCAACTAGTTCACAGCTACATTAAAGTATCAGAATATACCAACACACAGAATATCCTCCAAAAACATGTTATCCAAATTTCACTTGCTTGTTATTGAGGAGGGGAAAAAAAGTAGAAAATAATTAGTTGGTATTACTTATATACACACTGAAGATGCTAAGATCACATATAAAGGGTGTTCCTTGGCTTGAAGATTAGGAAAGGGTAAGAATCAACAAATTCCAAAACTGAAAGCCACTAGAAAGAATGTACTCTAAGCCTGAAGATCCAGAGATGTGCCGTTTACACTCTGTTCTTTCACGCACTCTGGAACTGTGCACTGTCAAGGTGTATTTAAAAACCATATATGAGTGGAGGTTGTGGGTTTCTTTGGGGTTTTTTTTGGGGGGGATGGTGTTTTGTTTGGGGTTATTTTTTTCAACTTCTGGTAGAAAAATATGCTAAGGTATGGATGAAGAGAATAAGTGAAAGCTATTTATTGTCATTAGCCTGTTACAAAGCAAGCAAGAAAGTGGTTAATGAGTTATCAAAGAGGATTTTAGTAGGTTACAAGTTAATGATGTTTGCAGATATTTTGTAGGAAAGTTGTATTTCATTATATTCCTAGCAACAATTAGGTTTTGGTACACCACCTCAAAGACATATGTAACTCCCATTTTGGTTCAATTGATCTATATCACAAAGGGCACCACTGGAAAACCTATCCCCAATTTGCCCACTTGTTTCATTCTGTGCCTTGCTTTTGCTCAGTTTCTTCCTCCAAAACAGGATAGACACAAAGCTTTTCTACATCAAGTCTTACGTGCTGCCTGTAAAAAGCCAAAACGCATGAAACTTTATTCTTACAGTGGGTTTTGTGTCTGTTAACATTTTTTTTTACCACTATGGTTTTAGTAGTGGATTAGTATTCAACACGATCTCTTTAAGCCTCTGATTAACAGCTACTTGCCTGTTTTTTGCCTTCTATATTTCTGTACCTTATTTGAAAAGATAATAGACTGTCAAAAGAAGAGTTTACAATAAATACTTCCAGTTTTGATTATGTTATAGGAGACTTTTTACAGGATTTATTAACATAAGCTATAGTTGTGAAAGCTTCATATTAATAGCATTTAAACACATGCTTTCCTTCCATTTAAACATAAATTCTGTTAAGCCTTTTTACACCAATGAACTGCAACAATGCTTACTTTGTACCATGAATTCTTCCTCATGTTCAGCCTTCCCATCCACATATCTGATAACAACATTTGTGTACAAGTATGTGCTACAAATGGACGAAGCCTCGATGACACTGCTAGCTTCAGACAAGTTGAGTTGCTCCAGTTTTTAAGCTCATAGGTTAGTAATTTCATTGCCATAGTTTCATCTTGTCGGAATGACTGTTCTAACAGTTCAACTGCCAGCTGACCAAACTCACTAGAAAAAAGAAAAAGCAACAAAACAAAATTTAGTATCTACAGAAATGAACTTGAGTTTAGGTCGAATTTTCTTGTACAATCAAATTCCCAGTAGCACAACTTGAATGGACTATCACTTGTCCCTTCTGTACAGAGATATCGTACAGCAATTTGTAACTACAACATGTGAATCTGTGACTTCTATTAAAAACATATGCAGGCTACAAACAGCTGTTAAAACATGCAAGAAAATTACATGGACGTAATCCGGTGGCACTTTGAGTATCATTTTAATTTAACTATAAATCATGACTTATTATAGCTCTCAAGATAAAGCAATATCCAATATAAAACTTCTACTGGAGTGCCACTTGATCATTTTTGCAAAAAGGAATTGTCTTCACGTGTGCTAATAGAACAGTTTGGATTTTGTTCACATATAGCCCACTAATTTTATTGTAAATCTCAAGAAAACATCTTTAACAATACAAATGTAATTTACTTGGAATACTGTTTCAGTTCTTCTGAAGTATCATCAACAAGGTCACTTTGTTTCGCTTCATATGCCATTGAACGATACACCTTGCAAGCAACTAAGGCTTTCGCCATGGACTCCTCTCCATGCTGCCAGAAGAAGAGGGCCATTTTCTGCCTCTTCATTAACACTGCCCAAAGTAACAGCTCGTTGAGAGGATAAGCAAAACGTCTCGTTTCAGGATCATCTATATCTACTATTTCATCTTTGGTTCTTTTCTTCTTTCCTTCTTCTGCACCAGTGTCAATCTTTAAAATAAAATCAGAAAGTTACATTTTAAATCTCTAAACTTGGGCACTACATAACTTGAAATAAAATGCTGAGTGATCCAATATCAAATTACATACAATTATAAAAAGAAAAATTAATTTCTGAAGACTTGAAAAGCAGCTGTAACTTTTGTTCAAAAACTTCAGTTGAGTCCAATTCATTTCAATAACTGGAAGACTGAATTACTCTGATTTGACTGGACAAACTCAAACACAAAAAGAAAGCCTACAAAGGGTGGATGCAACGACAGATAGCCTGTGAGGACTACAGAGAAATTGTCCAAGCAGACAGGGATCAGGTTAGGAAAGCAAAAGCCCTGATAAGATTAGATCTGGCCAGGGACATCAAGGGCAACAAGAAAAGCTTCTATAGGTATGTTGGTGATAAAAGGCCAGGTTGGATGAGGCTTTGAGCAACCTGGTCTAGTGGAAGGTGTCCCTGTCCATGGCACGGGGGTTGAAACCAGATGATCTTTAAGGTCCCTTCCAACCCAAACCATTCTATGATTCACAGACCAAAAGAAAAGCAGTAACTAAGATACCTACACACAAAGGAGGAAACTCATGGAGACTGCTTATTAGTAACACATGGCCAACTCTTGCTCTGCCTACAAAGCCACGGGAGTGTCCCCTGTTGCTAGAACTGTGCCTAAGATAAGCTTTTTGCTCCCTAACATATCAAAGCTCATCCAGAAGACTACTATACAAAAAGATAAACACTTTCCAGAATCCTGTAAGCAGGCTAGACAGCTTATAAACAAGTACAAAAGCAAGGCTGAAATTCCACCTCTACCAAAGTCAGTAAAACTCCTACTACTCACACTTCAGTGGTACTTGGATTTCAACCAGGTTCCCCACTCTTAGCTACTTAAAACAAATGCCCCGAAGTTCCCCTCACACATTTGTACCTTTGGTTTGTATGGCTGCGCTGTTTTGATGAAGTGATTATGGCGCATTTTTTCTTTCTTGTCTGCCCTGTTACCAAAAGACTCATGGCTTTTACACATCTGAGGAGTAATATTTGAAGGATTTCGTCCAGATCGCTGCAACAAGAATAAGAGGAAGGGGTTCGGTTTGATTTTTTTACTCTTACCTACTAGGCATTATAAAATCATCTATATATAGTTAGATACTTAGTTAAGCACTTAAACAGCTACTTGGTCACTGAAACAGTGATGAACTTCTATAACAGCAACAACCAGAATTTGCACTGGATATTTAACAAGTTTTTTGTTTGCTTTGTTTTTTTTAAGAAGTCACAAAGTAGATAGTTACACTTGTTTTACAAGAAGCTAAGATATCTCTATCCCAAGCCCTGGTGAATATGCATGTTTAGTGCCCATTCTTCCCTTATGAGTAGGAAAAGGAGGAATAACAGAGAAGGAATATAGACATGCTAGAATAAGGAGCAGGATAACAAAACCTTTTGTTTGTCCTTAACCCCAAAACAGCTACCAACTGCCCTCAGGCCTTACTATTGCCTCTAAAAGAACCAGTCCATTGACAAGAAGAACAAGACAATACAGGTCAAATATTTCTCCAAAATACATGGATGGGTTTTTAATTGAGAACATATGAATCAGCATGTCCTGTTACCCAACTAGCACATACCCGATTGTTCCCGCTGAGACTATTGTATATCGCTCTAAAGCGTTTTCTTGTGTAGGTGCATCTATAGGTTCCTCCCATTAGATATTCAATAACCAGCCCCACATCAATCAGGTTGATTTTATATCCTGGAGGAAGATTTCCCTAGGAATACAAAAGGTATTTTTAGTTTTTCAAATTATAATCTTAAACTTGCTTAGGGTGTTTCTACATGTCACATCACAGCTCTAAATAAAAAAAATTAAAAATTAAACCTTACATGATTAAAAAAACCAGGTTATAGCGTCTTTTCTATATGATGTCCCCTAGCAGGATAGATGTTCATTCTGTTGAGGGGGCTGCAGACTGGTTTTGTGTATTGTTTTAGCAGCCAAAATTACTCCTAGCTGGGAGTCAGCTTTCAATCCCCCCAAAAAACAGTCACAAGTAAGATGAAAAAGACCAACAATCATCAGGTTTAACATCTTTCTGGCAGCAGGGCACTAAGCATACAACAGCAAGTGTTGGAAACAACAGAATGGCTGCAGATGTAGCTTATTATTTACAACAAAACCTAATTAATAAATCTAAGATTAAATTGAGAGTAAAACATAAGAAATCATTAAAAAACCTAACATTGCTGCTTTGGCAGATTTTTATATTTAGAACATACCTGTTTGACATCCCGAACAAGATGA